TCCTTCTGCCTCCCCTCTCTCTGGTGCCTCCCTCTGCCAAACATCAACCTGGAACCCTACAGAGGGATCCTCACCCCAGCTTCTGGTCTACAGAGACTTTGGTTAAGACTGCTCGTAGAACCGAGCAGGCTGCAGTGCAGGGTCTTGTGTTACTGAAGGGGCAGTGGTCAGAGGGTGAGCACGGCCTGGGGAAGTCATGAGGGGAACATGGAGTCCCCTGGGCAGCACTCGCATGGAAAGGCCAGAGGAAGCAGTAGTCCTGAGATCCTAGAGAAGATAGCTGGATGGGAAGTCTGTCCAGAGCTCTGAATGTCTCAGCCAAACTCTGTGACCACAGGGTGGGGCCAGGAGAATAAAGTCCTCCTCCCTCTCTCTTTTCCGTCTCTCCTCCCACCTTTTACTAGACACACTGGGCCCGAAGCTAGAGGTCAGAGACCTGGAGCCTGTTGACAAACTTATGTGGCACCCCATCCCCAGGGCTTACAGTGATTGAAGTGGACAGAGGAGAGGGGGGTGGAGGCCAAGAATACCCCACAGGGGCCAGGGCCAGAGGCTTGTGTGTAGTTAGTATCTTTGGAATTGGAGCTTTTTTTTTTTAAGTCAAGGAAAGGGAATAAACAAACAAAAAACCCCAAAACACCCAGTGGTTCAATAGACCTGGAATGAAAAAGGAAGCAGGTACTTAGATGAGAGGAAGGTGCCTTGAGGGTTTGGAGAACTTGGCAGAGAATAGACTGGGCATGGGAGTCGGACGCTGGTAGACGTGTGAGGGAAACAGGAAAAGAAAGCTAAATGGTGGTGGTTCTGTCAGTCCTCTTAGGGAGTGTGGAGGGGCGGGGGGAGGCCTCCTGTGGGGAAGCAGAGGTGGTGAGGTTGGTACATAGACTGCTGGCCAGTGAATGTGAAGCCACTGGGCTCTGGTCCTCACTGATCCACGCCCATGACATTCTGAAACTGCTCAGAGATATGCAGATAAGTGAGTGAAGCGGGTCGGAAACCTGGGTATATTTGTATTAGCTGTATATTTGAGGAGCCCTGGTTGTATAGTGGTTACATGTTGGGCTGCAATCCACAAAGCCAGCTGTTCAAAACCACCAGCCACTCTTCAGGAAAAAGACAGGACTTTCTATTCTACTCCTGTAAAAAGTTAAGAGTCTTGGAAACCTGGAGGGGCAATTATACCCTTTCTTATAGGGTCATTATGCTGTCAGGCAAGCATTGGACTGCTAAGTGCAAGGTTGGTGGTTCAAATCTACTAGCCACTCCTCTGGAGAAAGACAAGACTGTTTGCTTCCATAAAGATTTACAGCCTCAGAAATCCGATAAGGATTGTTATGAGTTGGAAACAACTTGATGACAGAGTTTGGTTTATTTTGTTTTGTTTTATAATATATAGGAGGAAGCTTCAAAAAGTTTGGAAAATTCCATAGTCTTTTCATTCCATTTCCCCACAACTTTTTGAAGTCTATCTCAGCTCCTTCCTTCTCCCCATGTCTTAGTGACTTACTCCTTCCTTAGGTGTCAGGTTTTCCTTAGAGGACATTTGTATTCAGAAAGAGGGTATTCAGGCATTGTCACTCTTAATCACATGCTTTAAAACTGATTACACTGATGCTTTGTCTTTTTTTAATGACAGGATAGTATTAGAATGATCTTTATTATTAGCTGATTGTATAATGCTAAAATTACAACAACTACTGGGGGTTACATTTTTTAATTGCTGGGGTACTTGCTTTTCCTAATTGCATTTTACTTGGCACTACTGAAAAAGATCTGGGTTGCAGCCACCTCTGGTAATCAGACACTTTCTGTATACTAAGAATGTCTAGCTTGACTGGTACCCTGGAGGAGGTATTTGACTGTGGGTTTTTTCTTTTCTTTGAGTTCATAAACCAGAACTTTAACAATCGGGAGAAGGGCAGCCACAGTTGGAATCTACCAGGAAGGGCTGAGGACAGACCTCGGGAGGCGAGGTGCCTGTGTGGCCACCGCAGACGCATGTTCTGGTGCACATTGGGGGCGTCAAAAAGTTTGTGGAATAATTCCAGTAAATTTTAATTTTGTTTTTCCACCAACTTTTTGAAACCCCCATATAGGACAATGGCCCCATTTAGGAAAAGTATGGAGCATGTGGCAACATTGTTTTCGTACCCAGATCTTCAGAAATTTGATTTTATATATAGAAGGATTAATTAAGCAGCATGCATTTATTTACAGAGTGCCTCTCAAGGAAGCGCTTCAGTAGCTTAAACTGCCAGATTTGGTCTTTTTGTTCATCCTAACACATCACCCTTCTTTTATCATCTAGACAAGGCCACTGGCAGGAAGAGCTAGGGTAGAAGCCCGCCACAGACAGGAAATGTGGTGGACAGAGTGCTTGTGACAGTGCTAGAAAGGACGGAGGCTGCAGAGTCACAGCAGGAGGGGCCTCGCGGGGACTTGAGTGTGAGGCAGAAAAGGGACTCACGCTTCAGAGTATTGTTAGCAGCCTCCACTTTCACAGCTGACCTCTGACAGGACAAGTGGCGCCTGTCAATTAAGTTCTGAGGACAGAGCCTCTGCGCAGCGTCTGGAGTGTGGCCTGGGGGCCCCCATGGTTCTAAGCTGGGGGAGCAGTGTAAACTGGGCACCTGGTTTCCTCCTCTGTGAATTGAGGATGTTGAGCTTCTGTGATGAGTGAGTGCGGGTGTGTTAAGATGCTTTCCCCAGTAGTATGTAATCACATAGCTCGTATCTGCCGCCCAGCAGATGTATGGGAACAAAGAACACAGTCTTTTGCCAAGGATGAGAGAGGCTGCCTTTAGATTTGGGGATTGTTTCTACTTGGTTGTTTAGAGATGGCTTTAGTTCATATGACTGTAGTCAAACTTAGCATCAAAGTAGTAGATGGAGTTATTTGTCTAGCTGCTTCAGAAGGAGGTACGTTCAGCATTTGGCATGACCACCGTCTACCCTGAGCTCCCTCACATCTTTTCCTGGGAGTCTCCTGTGGACCCCAGTTGGGTGTCATTCCTTGGAACTGGCCCTGGAAGACGTATGGGCAGGGCCCACTGCCTTCTCCAGCTCTGCTCTTTGTCTCCCTGAAGTTCTCCCAGCCCCATCTGCCACCCCTGAATGGGCAGGTTGTAGCTGAGTTCTCCGGGGTCCACTTCCTACACCATTTGTGCTCCTGCTGTTGTAATGACAGGAAGATTACATTAGGGAACAGACGCAGCCTGCCCTTCAGGGAGCTTACTTTCTAGCTGGTAGAAAACAAGTAGCACGTGTATTGGAAATACATGCTGCAAGGAAAATAAAGTGGAGGGCGGGGGAAATCCCAAACCATACCCAGTGCTGTCACTTCTGTCCCAGCTCACAGTGACCCCATAGGACAATAGAGATGCCCCATAGAGTCTCCAAGACTCTCATCTTTACAGAAGCAGACTGCCATATCTTTCTCCCATAGAGCCACTGGTGAGTTCAGACCACCAACCTTTAGGTTAACAGCTGAGAGCCTGACCACTGAGCCACCAGCACCTATTAGAGCTTGGGGAAGGAGTTGTAATTTGCAACTTTAAATAGGACAGCCAGGGAAGACCTTACCAGTCGGGTGACATTGGCCAGCCTGAGTGTGGGATGCAGATAAGCATCTCAGCAAAGTCCTGAAGAGGCATGTGAGGCCATCCCAGGCGGCAGGCTGGGATCTGAGAGTCTGAATTACCTTTTAAGGAGCACCCCTAACATACCCATAGGCAACCCCATTTCAGCTCCTTGAACGTCATACGTTTGATACAGCACTGTAGAAAAATGTCTCTTTTTGTAGCTCAGTAACTCGCCTTACCCTATGTCATAATTTTTACACAGTTGATCCCCAAAAGTCATCTGGAGCCAGTTTGACTTCCTAGTCATACCTCCACTTGAGACGGAAGACAAGTCCAAGCAGGCGAAATAAAAATCTGCTCTTACTTCATTGTTTTCCAAGGAGAGAGGGTATAATTCAAAGTGTTGGCTCTGTCTTGTAACTTTGGGAAAGGGCCTTCTGTAAATGCCATCTACTGTATTGATTAAAGGTTGCTGGACTTCCTTGTCTGTACTACACTCTGTAGTTTTTTGTTTCTGGGACTGGGGTGGGTGGTTGAGAGCAGCGCCTTGGACCCAGTTTCCCAGGAGGAAGAAGCTGACTCCCAAGTCAATGTGGCCTACTGCTGGCCACTCAAGGGTGTGCAGCTGATGGGAGTTGACAGTCCTGGGGTTATCATAAAGACGCTGGTAATTACAGCAAACTGAGAGCAATATGCATTTGGATGGCCAGGTCCATGTCTCAAAAGGGGGGTGGGGGGCCTGGGCCATGTTCATTGTTTGGGTCTCAGTTCAAGTTCAACAATAACAACATAAAAACAACAAAACCAAAGTGTTTTTCTTGCTCCTTATATCCCGAGCAGTAGGAAGGTACGGTTTTCACTTGTTGTCGTTGGGGGAAAATGCACAGAGCACATCAGTTTCCCATCCAACAGCTTCCACCCTGCACTTCATGACTGTGTTGTAGTCCCTCAGGGTAATAGCACTCGTTCCGCTTCCTCCCTGGGCTTCCCGTGTCCAGTCATCCGTGGATTCCTGCTTCCTGGAGCTTTGATCTCAGGCAAATGCTGCCCTTTCAGTGGCAGGTGTGTTTTGATCACTGTTCTCCCAGTAATAACACAGGCCCATAGTCTAACCCAGTGGACTTTGGGGGCCTGTGATCTCAAGGATATTTTCAGTCTCCTGGATTTGTATGTTCCCTGTGTGTTTCTTGGACTCCTGCCTCACTTTTTAGACCTTTTCGCTGCTTGTTTGCATTTTAAGACATGGATGGGATAAGAAATTAAAGGAGATGAAATTCCAACGTGCAAGCTGCATCTGACTGTCTGAATGATCTTTCACCCCCCTTTTGTAGCCCAGACTCAGTTTTATTTGGGCTGAGGAGCTGCTAATCTAACATTTTTCTTTCTCTTCTTTCCATTTCCAGGAGGCCTGTTGGCCTGCCGCTGTGCTGCTAAACAGTATGCAGTCCTTTCGGGAGCAAAGCAGTTACCACGGAAACCAGCAGAGCTACCCGCAGGAGGTACACAGCTCATCCCGGATAGAAGAGTTCAGCCCTCGTCAGGCCCAGATGTTCCAGAATTTTGGCGGTGGAAGTGGTGGGAGCAGCAGCGGCGGCGGCAGCAGTAGCAGTAGTAGTAGTGGACGGCGAGGGGCAGCAGCTGCTGCAGCAGCTATGGCTAGTGAAACCTCTGGCCATCAAGGCTACCAGGGGTTTCGGAAAGAAGCTGGTGATTTCTACTATATGGCAGGCAACAAAGACCCCGTGGCAACAGGAACCCCACAGCCTCCTCAGCGAAGGCCTTCTGGGCCTGTGCAGAGCTATGGGCCCCCCCAGGGAAGCAGCTTTGGCAATCAGTATGGGAGTGAGGGTCATGTGGGCCAGTTCCAAGCACAGCACTCGGCCCTTGGTGGTGTGTCTCATTATCAGCAGGATTACACAGGGCCTTTCTCTCCGGGGAGTGCTCAGTACCAGCAGCAGGCTTCCAGCCAGCAGCAGCAACAGCAGCAAGTACAGCAGTTGAGACAGCAGCTTTACCAATCCCATCAGCCTCTGCCACAAGCCACTGGTCAGCCCTCCTCTGGCTCGTCCCACCTACAGCCAATGCAGCGGCCCTCAACGCTGCCTTCCTCTGCAACTGGTTACCAGTTAAGAGTGGGTCAGTTTGGCCAGCACTACCAGTCTTCTGCCTCTTCCTCCTCCTCCTCCTCCTTCCCATCACCGCAGCGTTTTAGCCAGTCTGGCCAGGGCTACGATGGCAGTTACAGTGTGAATGCCGGTGCCCAGTATGAGGGCCATAACGTGGGCTCGAACACACAGGCTTATGGAACACAATCCAATTACAGCTATCAGCCTCAGTCTATGAAAAATTTTGAGCAGGCAAAGATCCCACAAGGGAGTCAGCAGGGACAGCAACCCCAGCAGCAGCAGCAGCAGCAGCAGCAGCAGCAGCAGCCCCAGCAGCAGCACCCGCAGCATGTGATGCAGTATACTAACACTGCCACAAAGTTGCCCCTGCAGAGCCAGGTGGGGCAGTATAACCAGCCCGAAGTTCCTGTGCGGTCCCCCATGCAATTCCATCAGAACTTCAGCCCGATTTCAAACCCTTCTCCTGCTGCCTCTGTGGTTCAATCTCCAAGCTGCAGCTCCACCCCGTCGCCGCTCATGCAAAGTGGGGAGAATCTCCAATGTGGGCAAGGCAGCGTGCCCATGGGCTCCAGAAACAGAATTTTACAGTTAATGCCGCAACTCAGTCCCACCCCTTCAATGATGCCCAGTCCCAACTCCCATGCTGCAGGCTTCAAGGGATTCGGACTAGAAGGTGTGCCAGAAAAGCGACTGACAGATCCCGGGCTGAGCAGTTTGAGCGCCCTGAGTACCCAAGTGGCTAACCTTCCCAATACTGTCCAGCACATGCTGCTCTCGGATGCCCTGACACCTCAGAAGAAGACCTCCAAGAGGTCCTCCTCCTCTTCTAAGAAAGCAGACAGTTGCACCAACTCCGAAGGCTCCTCCCAGCCCGAGGAGCAACTGAAGTCTCCCATGGCCGAGTCGCTGGATGGAGGCTGCTCCAGCAGTTCTGAGGATCAAGGTGAGAGAGTAAGGCAGCTTAGCGGCCAGAGCACCAGCTCTGACACCACCTACAAGGGTGGCGCTTCAGAGAAAGCTGGCTCCTCGCCGGCACAAGGCACGCAGAACGAGCCCCCACGACTCAGTGCCAGTCCTGCAACAAGAGAAGAGGCTGTCTCACCAGGTGCTAAGGACACGCCACTGTCGTCCGAGGGCAACCCTAAAGTCAATGAGAAGACAGTTGGTGTGATCGTCTCCCGGGAGGCCATGGCAACTCGGGTAGAAAAGCCGGGGGGACAAGATAAGGGTTGTCCAGAGGACGATCCCGTGGCTGCTCAAAGGCCGCCCAGCACCAGCGGGGCCAAGGAAACGAGCCATGCCGCGCTTCCACAACCAGAGCCAGCAGGAGGGAACAAAGGAAACAAGAACAGCGATAACAACTCCAACCACAACGGAGAGGGAAATGGCCAGAGCGGGCACTCTGCAGTGGGCCCGAGTTTTACAGGCAGAAGCGAACCCAGCAAATCTCCTGGAAGCCTGCGCTACAGTTACAAAGATAGCTTTGGGTCGGCCATGCCACGGAATGTCGGTGGCTTTCCTCAGTATCCCATGGGGCAAGAGAAGGGGGATTTCACTGGCCACGGAGAACGGAAGGGCAGAAATGAGAAATTCCCTAGCCTCCTGCAAGAGGTGCTTCAGGGGTACCACCACCACCCTGACCGGAGGTATTCTCGAAGTGCCCACGAGCACCAAGGGATGGCTGGTGGCCTCGAAGGAGCCTCCAGGCCCAATGTCTTAGTTAGTCAGACCAATGAATTAGCCAGCAGGGGCCTTCTGAACAAAAGCATCGGGTCCCTGTTAGAGAGCCCGCACTGGGGCCCCTGGGAGAGGAAATCCAGCAGCTCGGCCCCCGAAATGAAGCAGATCAATTTGGCTGACTATCCAATTCCCCGCAAGTTTGAAATAGAGCCCCAGTCATCCGCACATGAGCCTGGGGGCTCTCTCTCTGAAAGAAGATCGGTGATCTGTGACATATCTCCATTAAGGCAGATTGTCAGAGACCCAGGGGCTCATGCCCTGGCACACATGGGTGCTGACACCAGAATAGGGAGGAGTGAGCGTCTCAATCCAAGCCTAAGTCAGTCCGTCATTCTTCCAGGTGGATTGGTGTCCATGGAAACCAAGCTGAAGTCCCAGAGTGGGCAGATCAAAGAGGAAGACTTCGAACAATCCAAATCCCAAGCTAATTTCAGCAGCAAGAAATCTGGAGACCACTGCCATCCTACCAGCATTAAGCATGAGTCTTATCGAGGTAACGCCAGTCCTGGAGCGGCAACCCATGACCCCATCTCAGACTATGGGCCTCCACAAGAGAGCAGGCCCACACCGATGCGGCGGGTCCCTGGCAGAGTTGGTGGCCGGGAGGGGATGAGAGGTCGGTCCCATTCTCAGTATCACGACTTCTCCGAAAAATTGAAGATGTCTCCTGGGAGGAGCAGAGGTCCAGCAGGGGACTCTCATCACATGAACCCACATATGACCTTCTCAGAGAGGGCCAACAGGAGCTCCCTGCACGCTCCTTTTTCTCCCAACTCGGAAAGCCTGGCCTCTGCTTATCACGCCAATGCTCGGGCTCATGCTTACGGAGACCCAAGCGTAGGCTTGAATTCTCAGCTCCATTACAAGAGGCAGATGTACCAACAGCAGCAAGAGGAGTATAAGGACTGGAGCAGCAGTTCTGCCCAAGGGGTCATTGCTGCCGCCCAGCACAGGCAGGAGGGGCCACGCAAGAGCCCGAGGCAGCAACAGTTTCTCGACAGAGTCCGGAGCCCTCTGAAAAATGACAAAGATGGTATGATGTATGGCCCACCAATGGGGACTTACCATGATCCCAGTGGTCAGGAAGCCGGGCGCTGCCTCTTGTCCAGTGATGGTCTGCCTAGCAAAGGCATGGAATTGAAGCACTGCTCCCAGAAGTTGCAAGAGTCTTGCTGGGATCTTTCTCGGCAGACTTCTCCAGCCAAAAGCAGTGGTCCTCCAGGAATGTCCAATCAAAAAAGGTACGGCCCGCCCCATGAGAGTGATGGGCATGGGCTCCCGGAGTCTGCACAGTCGTCTAAACCTAGTAATGTGATGCTAAGACTGCCAGGTCAAGAGGATCATTCTCCTCAAAACCCCTTAATCATGAGGAGGCGTGTCCGCTCTTTTATCTCTCCCATTCCCAGTAAAAGACAGTCGCAAGATGTGAAAAATAGTAACACTGAAGATAGAGGGCGCCTCCTTCCCTCATCAAAGGAAGGCACTGAGAAAGCATTCAATTCCTACGCCCATCTTTCTCACAGCCAGGAAATGAAGGGTATTCCGAAGAGAGACTCCTCCAGGGACCTCACCGGTCCAGATCATCGGAATTGCCCTGCTGTCACCCTCACAAGCCCTGCTAAGACCAAAATACTGCCCCCTCGGAAAGGACGGGGGTTGAAGTTGGAGGCAATTGTTCAGAAGATCACATCCCCAAACATCAGGCGCAGCGCGGCCTCGAACAGCATCGAAGCTGGGGGAGACACAGTGACTCTGGATGACATCCTGTCTCTGAAGAGTGGCCCTCCGGAAGGCACCAGTGCTGCTGTCCAGGAAGCCGAGGGGGAGAAGCGAAAAGGTGAGGCAGTGCCTGACCTAATCAGCCCAACCAGCCAGGAGCTGAGCACCGAAAAGCCTCTTCCCAGGTCCTCCGAAGAGTGGCGTGGCAGCGGGGATGACAAAGTGAAGACAGAGACGCATCCTGAAACGGTCACTGCCGGAAAGGAACTCCCCGGTGCCATGGCATCGTCAACCTCACAGAAGCCCGGCAGTAACCAAGGGCGACCAGATGGGTCCCTGGGTGGGCCAGCGCCTTTCATCTTTCCTGACTCAAAGAATGTATCTCCAGCGGGTGTCCTAGCCCCTGAGGTGAACCCCAAGGCTGAAGAGAAAGAGAGCGAGCCAGTGACAATTTCACCGAAACAGGAGGGCTTCCCCCCTAAGGGATATTTCCCATCAGGAAAGAAGAAGGGGAGACCCATTGGTAGTGTGAATAAGCAGAAGAAGCAACAGCAGCCCCCTCCTCCGCCCCCTCCGCCCCCTCAGTTACCACCAGGCTCTGCCGACGGAGAGCCAAAGCCAAAAAAGCAGAGGCAGAGGAGGGAGAGGCGGAAGCCGGGGGCCCAGCCGCGGAAGCGGAAAACCAAGCAAGCTGTTCCCATCGTTGAGCCCCAAGAGCCTGAGATCAAGCTGAAGTACGCCACCCAGCCACTGGATAAAACCGATGCCAAGAACAAGTCTTTTTTCCCTTATATCCACGTAGTAAACAAGTGTGAACTCGGAGCCGTGTGTACAATCATTAATGCTGAAGAAGAAGAACAGACCAAATTGGTGAGGGGCCGGAAGGGTCAGAGGTCGCTGACCCCTCCACCCAGCAGCACCGAAAGCAAGGCTCTCCCGACCTCGTCCTTTATGCTGCAGGGGCCTGTGGTGACAGAGTCTTCTGTTATGGGGCACCTGGTATGCTGTCTGTGTGGCAAATGGGCCAGTTACCGGAACATGGGCGACCTCTTTGGACCCTTTTATCCCCAAGATTATGCAGCCACTCTCCCGAAGAACCCACCTCCCAAGCGAGCCACAGAAATGCAGAGCAAAGTGAAGGTGCGGCACAAAAGTGTTTCCAACGGCTCCAAGACGGACACTGAGGAGGAGGAAGAGCAGCAGCAGCAGAAGGAGCAGAGGAGCCTGGCTGCCCACCCCAGGTTCAAGCGGCGGCACCGCTCGGAAGACTGTGGCGGAGGCCCTCGGTCACTGTCCAGGGCCCTCCCTGGTAAGAAAGCACCCACTGAGGGCAGCGGCGGCGAAAAGACTGCTTTGGACTCAAAACCCGGTGTGCCCACCGCTTCAGAAGGTGGCCCTGAGCTGGAGTTACAAATCCCTGAACTACCTCTTGACAGCAATGAATTTTGGGTCCACGAGGGGTGTATTCTCTGGGCCAATGGAATCTACCTGGTCTGCGGCAGGCTCTACGGCCTGCAGGAAGCGCTGGAAATAGCCAGAGAGATGGTGAGTACCTTACCATTTGCTCTCATAATACCTGAGTTGCTTTGTTCTGGTTCCATTTCTTTCCATCTGTACGTGTTTCAGTTTTATTTTTAGTCATACTTGATGTTGTTGGTAGGTGCCGTTAAGTGAGTTCAAACCCATGGTGACCCTTTGCACAAGAGAAAGAAACACTGCCCGGTCCTGCGCCATCCTCACAATTGTCCTCATGCTTGAGCCCATTGCTGCAACCACAGTGTCAGTCTATCTCGTTGAGGGCCTTCCTCTTCTTAGTGCCCTCTGTGTTACCAAACATGATCTCCTACTCCCAGGACTGGTCTCTCCTGACACCATGTCCAAAGCACATAAGCAAAATAGCACCATCTTTGCCTCTAAGGAGCGCTCTGGCAGTACTTGTTCCAAGACAGATCGGTTTGTCCGTCTAGCAGTCCATGATACGTTCAATATTCTTCTCCAGCACCACAATTCAAATTTGATTCTCCTTCAGTCCCCTTTGTTCAGGGTCCAACTTTTACATGCATATGAGCCATGTGAAATGCCATGGCTTGGTAACCTCCTTGCTTGTCAATACTCGTAAGATCTCTTGTGCAACAGATTTACCTAATGCAACACATCTTTGGACACATCGCATGTGATTGCTCCTCCAAGTTGAGAGCTTCTAGTCCCAGAACTGAATTGAAAATCAAGTGGATGACCTAGAAGAGTTCGTTAGCGTTTACTTTTTGTCAGTACAGCATGTTCATAGGGGACAGAACTGTGCTAGTGCTATGTGGTTATTGTTAGGGGCCATGGAGTCCATTTCCACGCGTAGTGACCCCTTAGGACAGTAGAATGATCTTGACCAAAGCAAATCACTGCCAGGACTTCACACAGGGCTACGGGGTGGGTTTAAACTGCCCACCTTTGGGTTATTGCTGAACATGCAACCATTTGTGCCATCATGGTTTCTGCCAGTGTTGTAAATCTGTTACTTATTTATTTTCATTTTTAAATATCCACTGACTGTAGTATAGCATTTATCCTTTCTTACCATGCAAAACACACATTCAGCCTCACAAATAATCCTGTGTTCAATTTAGTAAAATTAGACTTATTTTTCCATTCTTGTAAAATTGTTTCATGTTCTCACTTTCTTTTTATTTTCTTGAACCACATCTTTCTAATTCAGACTTTCCAATCCGGGTATTTTGTGCCTTGGAGTGGTTGCCCTAGGGCAGTGGTTCTCAAGCTTCCTAATGCCTCAACCCTTTAATACAGTTCCTCATGTTGTGGTGACCCCCCCCCCCAATACATAAAATTATTTTCCTTGCTACTTCATAACTGTCATTTTGCTACTATTATGAATTGGGGGACCCCAAAAGGGGTCTTGACCCCACAGGTTGAGAACCGCTGCCCTAGGGCATAACTTCATCATAGTTCAATTCCCTTCTCTTTTGATCATCCCTCACATAATAGAATACATCGTCCTCTACTGGTTTCCTTAAAAAAAGCGTCGGTAGATGGTCTATTCATTGAGATATAATTTATTTATCTAAGCACGACTTTGTCCCGCTCTCATTTTTTATTGTGGGGTGGCTGGGGTTTAGCATGCTAGTTTTGAAATAACTCTCCCTCCATATCTTAAAGTCCTTGCTCTGGACTTGTCTTGCAGCTCCAGGTTTAGTTGAGCAGACCAGAGCCATTCTGATTTTTCAGTCTTTTGTATATGATCTGTTTTAACTTCTGGAAGTTTGAAGATAATCTCTGGAGTCCAGAAATGTCACAGGGCTAGTCCTTGAAGGAGGGTCCCTCTTCATTCATTGTGCTGGGCTCACCCTGTGGAGAGATCTTTCTGCCTGAAAACACATAAGCTTTCAATTCAGGAAATTTGTCACGTATTGTTTCGTGGGTCATTTCCTCTTCTCTGCCTTCTCTCTGGAATTTCTGTTAGGATTTATTCCTCCTGACTTGATCTCTCTTGGCTTTTTCTTTCATTTTTATTTCATTTCTGACTCCTGCTTTCTTCAACATGACCATCCTCCCTTTAATTTACTTCTTTGTCTTCAAAATTTTTTCTTCAAATATTACCTATTTTTTTAAAAAAGTTAAAATAAAAAAGTTATGGCTGCAATTGTTTCTCTTACTATTAGAGCACATTAAATGTGTTACATTTAAAAGGATTAAATCTTTCTTTTAATCCTTCTGTCTCTTCCTGTTTTCTTTGTCTTGCCAGAGGTTCCTGAAATGCAGGTTACTCTCAGTTGTTCATATGTGTATGTCAGAGAGAGATGCTAAAGTAAGCCCTGGCTTACAGTCTTGGTGACCCTCTGTGTAGAGAGTGATAAGGCATCCAGTCACCATCTGTAGGTCTTGTCTCTGAGTTCAATTTTTTCTAGAGGAAAATGTAGACATCTCCTGACTAGGGAATATAAGCTTGGTTGCCAGTTATCCTAGAAGCCAATAAGGGAAGGAGATGGTGGAGTTGTAGGTGTAGGAACAGGGTTTTATCACCCAGGGGCCGGACTTGGATTTGCTCACCTGTTTTCCATATAACCCTACGCCCTTCCAGGGGGACATCCACTGATTGAATTGGTTTGAGTTGAGTAAGGGTCTAACTCTAGCTGTAAGCGTTGAGCTGATGCTCTGGTATCCAGCCCATCACTTCCTGCTTTGTGGGCAATCTGTGCCTTCTGGCCTCTGTGGCACCAAGTGGTCAGCTTTAAGCCATCCTCTCCTGCAAGCAATTACGTCTTGATTTCCTATCCATCTGTTGAATTGCTTCCCGTCACCTGTTCAATTTCCAACTTCTAGAATTTGGACACCTCGTGTCCTCTCTCAATTCATCATGGCCTGTAGAATCTATCTTCCAGTCCTTGATTTTTGTGGGACAGGAAAGATATATATGTAAACGGACGTTAAGCCTACCATATTTAATCTCATGATAGATTTTGTATTCATATGTACTGAAAAATTCTGAAAATGCCTTACAATCATAGACAAAATAATAAGGATTCAGTCAGGCAAGGGCCTTGCAGTCCTGGTCACATTACACTACCCCTACCAAAGCTCTGTATTTGATCGTTGTGTTAGCCCCAGAATTTCTAACATTCTGACTCCATCTCACAAGGAACTTATTCCCTCGTAAAGCCCTCACCCTCTCTCTCTCACACACACATCCCATCACCTCCATCTTTTTTCTTCCACTTTTCCTCCCTCCAAGAAACCCTGGCACAATGGGTTAAGGGTTGAGCTGTTAACTGAAAAGCCTTTCTGTAGCAGGAGATGAGGCTGACTGTTCCCCTAACAACTGGGCAGCCTCAGAAACCCTAGGAAGCCATTCTACACTGTCACCGTGGAATTGGTTGTTGAGCTTGGTGGTTGAGGGGGTGTTTTTGGATTTTTTTCTCCATCATCACTACCTCCAAGTTTGAAACAGAAAATGTACTTCAAGTTCAGACTTAGTGGTGTTTTAAAATGCAAAGATCCTAACAAGACATGACATTTAAGATGCTAGAGGACAGCATTCTTTAAATACAACAAATCTGAGCACAGTGTTGCACCATTATCAAAGGGGCCCTGAGGGGACAGTGGTTAAGTGCTCAGCTGCAAACCAACAGGATTGGAGGTTGAACTGCACCAGCTGCTCTTTGGGATGAAGATGAGGCCACCTGCTTCCAAGAAGCTGACCGCCTGGGAAACCCTCGGGCAGTTCAATTCTATACTAGAGTTGATGTGAATCAGGATCAACTCACAACAGAGGGCTCTTTGGGATTTGGGGTCCATTATCATCTTGGCCATGTTTGTCAGCTTTCCTCCGTACGTTGCAGTATTTAGTAGGTTTGTTTATTTGTTGCTTTTTTGAGGTGTGTGTGTGTGACACCATCTGCCAATGTTTTCTTCGTTTTAACAAACTATTAATATTTCTCAGTGCAGTCCGATGTTCAACTTTTGTGTATTCTATAACAGCATTGGGAGCCTATAGCCAGCTGTCCCTAGAGTCTGTGTCTCTACCAGGTCTAGGTGCGGGAAGATGAAAGGGGCAGGATAATACTGTCACCACCCCACATCCCAGTCAATCCCAACCCAGAAGGCTGGTAAGCAGCAGGCCTGGCCTTCCCTTTTAAATGCCTAATCAGGAATCTGTCTTCAGAAAGCACTGGTTTCGTCTACTACTTGTCAGTTTGATCCCCAAATAAAATCTGGAATGTTATACTCAGAATAAATATGCTGGATATTATAAATCAATTTCTTTCTTTTTTTTTTAAACAATCATTTTATTGGGGGCTCTTACAGCTTTTATATAACAGCCCATACATCAGTTGTATCAAGCATATTTGTACATATGTTGCCATCACTATTTTTTTTTCCATCGTTTTATTAGGGGCTCATACGACTCTTATCACAATCTATGCATACATCAATTGCATAAAACACATTTGTACATTCATTGCCCTCAATTTCTTTCTTAAACCCATCCCTACACTACCAGTTTTCAGTGGCTGAATGGTTAAGATAGCAAGATGTGCTTTAAATAAGGAACACTTAAAAGTATCTTTTAAAAATATATCTGCGTTGCAATCTTACATGTTTCAGTTGTGCTTCGAATTCCCTATTGGCTCAAGGATAAGAAGTTGGAATGCTTTCTTGTAAGGCCACCATCCAGGTACTTTTGACTCCAAACTGCTGCTTCTCGACAGTTGCTGTGATTGGGTTCTATTCCATAGATTCCAACTGCTGCCTAGGATCCTCTGGGCTGTCATCTCGGGAGTAGCTGGCCCCCAGGCTTTCTCCCACAGAGCTGCCAGCCCATCAACGAGCCGTCTCCCTTCCCTAGTGCTGCTGTAACAGAAATACCACAAGAGGGTGGCTGTAACAAACAAAGACGTTTTTCTCTCACAGTTTAGGAGACCAGAAGACCAAATTTAGAGTACCAGCTCCTGGGGGATGCCCTTGGTGAACTTCATGTGGCTTGCTTTGCCCGTTTCATCTCTTACCTCGTAGAAGAGCTTAAAATAAGGCATACC